TTTTATCACATTTACACAACACTTTATGAATACAAGTAATGAACAAATCTGAAATATGGCATGGAATGTGTTTCCTTTTTTAGTTTTGATTTTGAGCAGCAAATTTGAAGTTACATATTGGTGCTCACCAGGAATGCATAAGCAAATTTGCACTAATTTTCACTTGAAAGAATAGTGAAAAATCTTGGGATTTTTTTCTGTTAAAGTTTTAAATAGTGTGTAAATTGAATCCACTTCATCTTCAGCATGTTAAGTGCCACTTTAGTTAGTGGCCCCGCCCCCGTCCCGGCCACGCCCCGTCCCGGCCACGCCCCTTTCCGCTTTTTTCATCACTAGCCACTCTCATCCCTGATTAAGAGGTGCAGTGTCGGTTATGGGTAATATTTCTGTATTTAACACATAGATAACATGCACTGCATTGTTGGACGCGGGCATGGTTAAAACGTACACCAGCTCAAACAATATGCTAGTGCACGCTAGTGTTTGTTTTTAAAAAGGAAGCAGGAGCAAAACTGAGTTCAGGGGTACTTTCTTGAAGTATTTAACACTGTACTCACATTATTTTTTAATATTCGTGAAAGTACGGTAATAATGCAACAAGCTATCTCACTACTTTTTAGTCGATTTTATTTTGAAGTTTATTAAGTAGAGGTTTATTTTTTATTTGAAAATTTAATTTAAATTTGACTGATATTTTTTTTCTCAAAATTGTTAAAGAAATGCAATAAAACATCCCACGACTCTCAATGTTATATATATTTTTAAAAAAGTTGAATGTTACAGGAAATCACCTTTTTCTTTCAAAGTATTTTTAAAAAGTAAAAACATTTGAATGAAACAGAGGTATTTTTTTCATGTTGAATTTTAACGATATTGGCCATTTTCATTAAAAAAAAAAGAAAGTCGCTTTAAAGTGTTTAGCTCAACTTCGTCAGAGCATGAACAAAAAAATTGTATCGCACCACTTTGAAACTTTTTTAAAAGAAATTGGCTATATTTATTTTCCCCTACGACAATTAAAATAAAAATAATTTATCGTGCAACAAAAATAAAAAAGACATATATTTTGATAACTTTTTCCTTTATCACCGGTAAAACAAAACTCTGCCCCGCCCCCACCCCTCTTTCAAAACAGTGAAGTGCTTAGTCCATTGGACTGTTTTCAGCATCCATCAAAAACCTGCTGCACGTGTCCCCAACCCTACTTAACTTGTGTTGTCAATGTGCTTCCAGTGCCCAAGAACTCGGGGGTCCGCCGCGCAGACACGTCCCCCGTGGTGTCCAGAGCAGCCAGCCAGCAAAGGGGACAGCTGGCCAAAGGCTCCCAGGCCCTGCAGGTGCCCGCCGTGGCCCTGTACCCATCACGCAAGAAGGTGCCCGTCAAGGACCTGCCTCCCTTTGGTAAGACATCACATCACCATTATTAGTAGGAGTATAAATTCTAACTATATTTGTATTAATATATATATATATATATATTCTCAGCGCATTCGCATGTGGACAAACACAAACATTAGGGTCAACAACTCTGTCTTTGTTTCAGGCACCAGCTCCCCGCAGTCTCTGAAGAAGATCCTGTCTCTGTCGGAAGAGGCCAGTGAGCGTCATCGCAGGCATCCTGACGACTCCACGGTGTCCAACGCCTCCTCGCAGCTCCCCTCGCCGCCTGGCTCACCGCAGAGCTCCCCCAAGAAGGGTAAACGCACCAATTTGGCACTGTGGTGCACTTCCACCCCCTGCTGCTTGACCTGTGCACTGCACATAACAGAGCTGAGTTACTGGATACAACTACAGTACTTGGAAATACACATTTTCGACCCTGATGAATTATGAAAATGTGTCATTTCTTCCGATTTATTTTAGCATATTTTTACTGGCGTGTGCCATCAATTCATTTTCATTAGTGTCATTTAGATTTTTGTAAATTTCCCATATGTTACGAGCATTTATTTTTAATTAGTGGTGAGTTGTATTAGATTTATGTGTATTTTATTTATTTTTGTGATATTTGCCCGATCCATTTGTTTTCTTTTAACTTACGGTAATCAGAATGCTGATTCATATTCTCTAGTCGAAGGGAAGGAGCGTAGCTCCTTTAGTGGATGCTTTGTAGATTGCACCTTATAAATCGAGTGCATCCAATATATGAAAAAATTTCAAAAATAGCCCATTCATTGAAGGTGCGCCTCATAATCCAGTGCACCTTTTCGTGCGGAAAATACTGTACATGTACACTTTTTCTAATTAGCTTTTATATGTTTTTGTTCATTGATTAATGTGAAGGACTTATTTAATGTGGGTGATAAATCATTATTTTGCATTTTTACATTTGTTCATGGATCATTTTTTTTCTTTGTTTCTTTTTACTTGTTATTTTGATGACAATAATTATTCAGGCAAAATGACTGACCTGTTGATGTATGTGTTCCAGGTTACAACCGTATGGGCGACTCGTACTCGGACTGCAGTCAGAGTGAAATGTCGTCTCGCTCCAGCCTTCTCAGCAACTTGTCCTTTGAGGACGAGCGGCGGTTGAGGCATTCGGGGGGCGTCGCAGAGTCCCATGTGGGTGTAGCACGCCTAGAACGGCGGGCCGCCACCGATCCCGATCAGTACAGCCTAGGGTACGTGATTGCGTTAGTGGTACTGCAACTCGAATGACACATCTAGAACGGGACTGTGCAGACCTCTGCCAAGGCTCCAAAGGCTTCAGTGGACAAACTTGAGATTTTGGCTGCTCATTCCAAATGCCACAACAACGTTTTTTAACTAATTATTCTCCTTATTGAAAGTTTGATTTTTGCACAGCTAACTAATTTAATAAAAATCATTCAACCAAAACACCTCACCAACTAGCTACTTGATGTCGTGACCAAGCAACCGCTATAACTAACCAGTGCACTAACAGACTGACCAACCTATTAACTAGTCAACCAACTACATGACCAAGCTACTAATAAATTAACCAACCTATATTAATTAAACAACATTTAACTGCCTAACGAACGTACTAAGCAACTAACCTAAATATTGACAGAATAACCAACCAAATGGCCTAACAACCTCCTCATTATCTCTTGACCAACTAACCAAACAATTATCTAACCAGCAAATGAGTGAGAGCCTACTAATCAAGTAATTAATTAGCCTGGTTATTAATCAACCCATAACGAGACCAACCAAAAAAAAGAAAATGATGTGTAAATACGTCATGGGTAGGCGGCCGTAGTGGGGATTTTTAAGACGTATGGGGATTGAATGAGTTAACCAACAAACTCACTGGCTAACTAAACTGAATGAGAGCACAATTCATTCAATCAAAGTCATAGTTGTGTGGTTTTTTTCCTTGAGATCCTATCCCCACCTATTAACCTAAAAATTAACCTGTTTGCTGTTTGCCACAAGATGGCACCAAACACATCTAATGGATAAGAACTGTAGTTCTTTGGGTTCGTTTGTGGTGTTTTGAGCCAACAGTCTCGAACTAGGGTCTTAAATTCGACAATGATATTTCAATTGGACCGGCAAATAGGTGCTGTTGTTAAATCCAGCTCCTTACATCTTAGGCAGCTGGCTAAAGTATCAAGCCTCTCCTCTCTTCAAGAGCACTTCGAAACAGTAAATCATGCTTTCGTCACATCATGGCTGGATTACTGTAATGTAACTCTAATTTGGAGTCAGCCAATCGTCTGCAGTCGGTTCAAAATGCTGCTGCACGCCTCTTGACTGGTACTTGTTAGAGGGAGCACATAACTCCTATTCTGGTATCCCTTCACTGGTTCCCTTTATTTTAGAATTCTTTTTTAGGTCATATTATTTGTTTTCAAATCTTGAAATGGCCTCCCTGAGCTCCTTCGCCACTATTCACCTGCCGGTGCCTCAGGTCTGCGGACCAGATACCTTTAGAGGTACCAAGAACTAAGCGGAAACTCAGAGGGATTGAGGATCTCCGTTATTAATTTATTGTTTTATTGGTTATTGTGTGAATTCTTTTTGCTCCATGTACAACACTTTGTATCCAGCGGCGGTGGTTTTAAAGTGCTCTATAAATACAGTTGAGTTGAGATTTACAACACTGGTGATGGTGTACACGAGAGGATGTGACGTGGCGTGGTCTTTGGGTTGCAGGTCGTATACGTCGATGCAGGATTGTCGGGGCATCTACGCGGGCTGCCCCACGGTGCTGTCGTCCCCCAGCTCTGAGGAGCTGACCCAGGACCAGGGCGATCGCATGTCGCTGGACGCGGCCGACAGCGGGCGTGGCTCCTGGACATCCTGCTCATCCGGTTCCCACGACAACATCCAGACAATGCAGCAGGGCCGCAGCTGGGAGACGCTGGCCTTTGGCGGGGGGCTTCCGCCTGCTGGCGGTCCGGAGGCCCTGCTTTGGGCAGCGCAGGCGCGGGGCAGTTGGGCGTCGGCCGGCTCCTCATCATCATCGTCCGCCGCCTACTGGGGTGAGGACTCGGAGGGAGACACAGGCACCATCAAGAGGCGTGGCGGCAAGGATGTCAACGCCGACCCCGAGACCAGCAGCATCACATCCTCCGGGTCCGAGGACGCCAAGCAGATGGGGCGGCCCTCGCCCTCGCCCATCACTGCCGCCTGTAAAGGACTCATCTGTGAGTTTCTGCTCGCCGCTAAAATGATAATAGCACACCAGGCAAATGTGTCATTTGAGGAGAATAAAATCACCAGAAAAGGTCGTAATTGTTTTGTGTTGTGTGCCTGAAGCTCGGAAAGAGGGGCGGTATCGCGAACCTCCCCCGACGCCGCCCGGCTATACGGCGCTGACCATCTCTGACCTGGCGGATGGCCAGACGCCATCCCCTCCAGGCCCTAATTCGACCACGTCTGCGACGCCAACGCCGTCGAGCCGCCGTCCACCTGACTACACCACGGCGCTGCAGCGCTCCCGCATGGTCACACAGTCCCCCGACTCGCAGGCCCACCAAACGGCATCCAAACAGAGAGGCAACGGCCTCCGGCGTGGCCGGAACGACGAAGAGGACGACGAGGCGGCGGCGGAAGAGGAGGATGAGGAGGAGGGTGAGTCTCCTAAACTTGTCGCTCTGAGGAAGCCGAGGGCACAGCGTAAACCCCGGCCCCCCTGGCCGCGACCGTGC